GTCTACAAATCATACAATAGCGCAAATATCCCATGTAATTAGACTCATTTATGTAGTTTATTCGTAAGTCTTGCCAAATTTTGCTTTGGTTACTTTAGAGTGCCTGTTTGTTAGTATATTTTGATGATTGTTGATAACGATTATTTTGAGACAGTGTTGTTCTTATAAGCAGATATATTATCGATTCACTACGAAGGTTTTATTACTTCATTATTATTATTATTTTTAAAGTTTACCTACAAATGAACGAAGAAAGAAATAATGGTTGGAAATTATAGGACTGCCGAACATAAACATTGGTTCAAATACCATCTTCGTTTGTTCGCTCCATTTTGAAGAGTCAAATTTTAATTAAACTTTGAATGTAAATAGATTACTTGATAATGCAATTCCATCTTTATATTTATTGGTAAATAACTTTATATTTAATTTTGATTAAAATGGCTCATTACTTGCCTAGTAATAATAGCTTAGTACATACTTTGATTACAGTAAACTATACAAATTTGCAAACATAAAAAACAGTTTCGACATTCAAGCCATACATTTGCATGTCGATATTGACTAATGATTATTGTACAACACTAAATCCGCCCTTTCTGTGGTACAATTTTGGTTTAGGTAGGTATGTTTACTCCGTCGATCACTCCTTGATTTTTTTCCATCCTCTAAGATGGTTATATACTCGATGTTGCAGTGTAATTGTAAGTGCTTTTGCTTAGGTGGCGCCAACTGGTGGCGCAAATGTTTCCCCTCATTTGGGCCTATTTAAAATCGCTTTACAGTCTATTCCTAATTGTATCGTAATTTTCCGTGGAGGGCTTAATTTCTTTAAAATTAATGCCGCTTAGTCATTGTTGTTTTTGTCCAATCATGTGGATAATGAAGTTCACCATTCAATGGAACACCCTCGAAAATATCTTTTTAAGTATTTTTTTAAGTTTTTTAGCAAAGTTGATAAAGTGGTAAAGGTCACAAAATTCACGTCCTGTTTTTCATCTCGAAATGTGTATAAAGCGTATAAAAATGAAGACGAACGTGTGCCCAATCAGTTCTCAGAGATATCTCATCAAAGTGCACATTGTGTTGGCACAATGATAGCAATCGCGCGTTCCTTCAGAACCGCAAAACCATACAGATGCTACATGGTATCCGTTTAGATTTCCTTGTGGCTTTTTAGACAAATTCAAGGTGAGGAAATGAATCCTGCGACAAGGAAAAAAACCTATGCGCCAAATATATTTTGACTATAGAATTTTCTTGTATTAAAGTCCACTCAAATTGAACAATTTCTGAATGGAATTCAGTCGTTTCTCAACCGATATGCATGAAATTTGAAAGTAGCTTAAAAAATTATCGGATCGTGACGAAACCCAAATTTTAAATTCCGATCCAAAGATAATTGAGGTAACACGGAAATAACCAGAACTGTGAAAAGAGAAAAAAATAAGATAACGATAAGAAAAATATGTGGGCGCGTAAATGTGCAGAACCGTGAAGAAGAAAAACTTCTGCGCTTCGGTATGGAATAGTTATGCCTAGTATTTATTGCCCATATTACTCATTGAGTAAGTTCGTCATACACAAAATAAGGAAAGCAGCAACAGAATCTGCTCATCAAAATATGATTGGTTCCGACCCTAATGTCCGGTATGATGTGCGAAGTACATAAAGAGAAAATTTCATTACACCGTACATGTTCAATTAACTGTCCTAAAGGGGCTTCGGGTGCTCGCCACTGATACCACTAACACGAACAACAATATGAAGCCAGATAGAAGTACATTGTTAATGTTGACCTCTATAACACCGCCTATGTAGGAAAACGAATACTTAACTATTATTTCACTATTTACAAGAAATATACAAATATCTTCAGTTATTTGACAAATAGATTAATTAGACTATGTAACTTACGTAGCTATAAAAATCAATCAAAAACACATTCATTCAAACTTTTTACAGAAGCATCACAGCATTTACAAAACTACTTTCTTGAGATCGAGATTAGTATCTCCACATAAGGTTTTTATGGAAGCAGGCGAGTATAATTATTATATAATTATAATATCGGGAAAATAAAAAGAAGTCATACGGTGGTAAGAAACCTGATATTAGGGATAATCATTTAGAGCATAATTATTATTGAGAAGATTTACTCAATCCGGCACCATCATCAATATAGAGATTTAAAAAGCAAAATATTACCTCCATTTACCGTATTTAGCAAAGCAAAATATTACCACCATTTACCGTATCTAGCAACATTTTAGGTAAACATGTAATTGCAATAGCGAGCCAGTGAGTAAGAAAATTATAATGTCAAGTTATACATTAGAATGAAACAAGTTAATAATGCAATCATTAAATTCCGTAAAACTAGAATAGCCTCGAAGTTCTGAAAGTAATACTGTACAGGTATACCAACTTTCATTTTATGAGCACTTTGCAGTTCAAAACGACTGGAAAATAAGCTGGACATTTAATTCTCTGAAAGGACGTCAAACGACAATTAAACAGAATGTAATTAGTTACAGACTTTAACGAATTATTTCTTAAACCAGCGTTTCACGAGCGTAGACTTTGTAAAAGCTTATTTTCAATAAAAGGTAATGTTAGGAATGTTAGGTTTTGTCTGAAAATACTATAAAATGATCTTTTATATTAATTACTGCCAACGAATTTGTTTAATTTTATGCTTGTCAACACTTTATATTTATCATCGCCCAAGAACTATCAACTTACCTACTATAAATCTACTCGTTAAGTAGAACTCTATCGTGATATCAAAGTTATAATATGTCATAATAGCACTAGGATTATTAAATTTAAACTAAAGATACCTCTGTTACTCGACTACTGGATTTTGGATACTTTATTAAAATCAGTCATTTATACAAGAAAGATAAAATCTTCGACGAGATCTGATTGAGGTGAGTCGCTTCCAGAAATTAATGTACAAGTACTAGGTTGTGCATTTTTCTATACATGTCTACAGCCGGGAACCGAATTACAAACACAGACATAATTCGTTTTAGTTGTTAAAAAAAACATCTTCGCCTAAATACGTTCATAATACGATAAAAAGAATCTTCTACAAATTGTTTTCATAAAGTAACTGCAGTTGCCTAGGAATCTAGATTGTTTATATCAAAGTATGTATTGGTGTCATATATCGGCGATTCCGCGGTCGGGTACCTGACACCAGATTGCGCCACACGTCGCCGACAAGTGCAACACGTGTATAATAGATTAGTAGTTTAATTTATTTTATTGTCCTATTATATTGTATGTATGTTAGTCCTGAAGGTATATATTATATGGGTCATGTCGCCTGAAATAAATGTCTAAAAAAAAAATAAAAAGAAAAATCAATCTTGAAGTCAGTATTACATCAGGTTGTTATTGACCATAATTACCTACAGCAACGATAACACCACCGCCGTAAATAAAGTTGAAAAATGTTAAAACAACCAGCTATTATAGACAGTATTCATATAAAATAGATGATATTATATATTAAACAACGTGCAAAAATTATTTCCATTACTATACTTATTTATTACTAGAATAATTACCGTCTAAAGGCTACCTTACTTAAAACAGTTAACGAAATCCATATGCGATTGGTTGCATCACTAACTGTCAACGAAATTATGTCAATTTCCAAAAACCGTGAACGAAAATTTTATTGTAGGTAGAATTAACCCTTTAATTTTGTATTCATGTTCCATTCACTTGTAGTATAAAATAATACCTACTTGTCTCAGTGCTATGTGCCTAGACATGGTATCTCTGTATAGAATACTAATAATCTATAAAAATGCCTACAGATTTGTGATTGACGATCGACACGTTTTAATCTACAAAAAATGCAATATCAATGGTCTCCTCACATGTTTACTAAATTTTGGTCGATCACACCATGTTGATCGACAAAAAAGACGATGTCGATCGTCTGTTGCTTACAAATTTACTCGTTTTGTTTGATCACACGTGTCGATCTACAAACAATACGATATCGATTATCTGCTTCTTACATATTTATTCAATTTTGTCTGATCGATCACACAAAAATATTATATTATCATCTGTTGTTTACAAATTTATCCGTTTTGTTTGATCACACGTGGCCCGTACTTATTCAATTCTACTACGACCATTTACATTGACTTGGCTCTCTGGCCAACTTTAGACCACCAACTTTAGAACATCTTGTAATTGTATTGTATTTTACATTTTTAAATCGTGAGACGTAGCTTGAGTATAATTTACCTAAATATTAGATTTAGGTATGTAGTTAAAGTAGTGTAGTCAATGTTGAGATGATTAGTAAATCACCAACTAGTGATTGAAGTTTAATATTTACCATTTGAATCACATAATTGTTTCTCAGAGTACAGTCGTACCCAGGAATGGGACGTACCTATATGAGTTAATGATGTGAACGTTTATATGTTTTGAGATAAATCCTATCAATAATCATTTAAGTTATGGTTATTCAAAAGGTTATCTGTAATACGTTATGAGGTCGGTTAAATATAGTTATAAACAAACTGTCTTTGTAAACATCATAGAGCCATTAAAATTATAGTCTTTGTACCATTGACTTACAAGTACAAATACTTTACCTACTTCGAAAACTAGGAATATCTAGGTTAAAGAAAATTTAACGTCGCCTTAAAACGAAAGTAAGGAATTCCAATAAAGACTGGTTGATTTTAGTCATTTATCTCATTACCAAAGCGGCTAAAGATATATGTTACTAAAACCCGATTACCCTCGCGGATCTTCCCTTGTGTTCAAAGTGAACGTATTGGAGCGGAATGTTCCACGTCAGAGGTAAAAGTAAGTATTCATCTTAAATTTCGCCCGTGTATAGGAGCCCGTAAAAAGTCTTTCATCTGGACCGGCATTCTTAAGAAAGAATTGTTTCCATACGGGAACATGATAATATTAGATATTAAAATAAGTGTAAGGAAAGTAACGTGGTTACGTCCAGTTTGCAAAATTTATTGACGTAATAAAAGATGACATAACAAACTGTAATGATCCTTTTCAAAAATATTTAGGAGTAAACAGCAGGGATGCCATCCTTGCTCCAGTCAAGATTAACCACGGCACCAGTGCGCGCACTTGTCTCCAGGGCTGTAGCTATCTTGCTTACAGCTAGGCATTGCCAGCTAGTCACGTCCATAGGTATTCCCTCTAAAAAAGAAATCTAAAATTAGATTCATATAGTGATTATAAACTTATTTTTCAGTCGACATCTTCTGATTAAGACGAGGATGTAATGAAGTATTCACATATTGAACAATAAAATCTTACCTTGCACCACTTCCAAGAAATGTTCCAGCTCTAATTTGTAGGCTGTCTTAAAACGTGAGGGGAAGGAGAAGAAGATAGGTGTTTGTTTGATGCCTTCATGACCAATAACTGTCTCCACTGAATGAGTTGGCCTTTGGTTCTCCACCTTGATCATTCCTACAAATAATAATGTAAAATTTATAAATCTAGATCCACCTATTAAGTTCTTTAAAGTGAGGTTTCTTTTTTAATAGTAAAACATAAATACCCTTGTTTCCAAATACTTCTAGTCGCTGGTCATAACCATAAGCAGAGAAGCGACTATTGTCACCAAGAACGATGGCACCAGAGGGGAATGTGAGCAGAAACGCAATTGTATCGAAGTCATCTATGGCTTTGATCTCGGGTATAAGAGACGAGGCGAAAGACTGCACGCGCGTGGGGAGTTCTCCAAGCACCCAACATGACATGTCGATGTCGTGCACTAAGCAATCATGATATACTCCTCCTGCAAAATAATAAAACGCAATTGTAAGATTTTGAACAAAAAAATATTATGACTGGCTTTTCCATCTTATCAACTAATTACGCAGTAGCGGTGATGCCAATGCTTTGCCAATGCATTGGACGGACAAAATACATACCTGACGTCTTTAGGTAATCAGTGCTAGGAAGAGGGGAGTCTCTGGCGGTGACTTTAAGGATCTGTACGTGACCGACCTCTCCCTGCCTGACGCGATCCTTGAGACCCCGATACGCCGGATCGAAGCGGCGGTTAAAAGCAGCGAATAAAACACGGCCTTTGGCCTTAGCCACCTCGTAGCACTTCTTCGTATCCTCAATGTTCTCAGCAATAGGCTTCTCGCAGAATACGTCCTTGTTAGCAGCAATTGATTTCACTACAATGTCGTGATGAGTGTAGGTGGGTGAAGCGATGAAGATAACGTTCACGCTGAAATTTAATTTGGGTTTTGTTTTTAAATGTAATGTAGAGTCACTCAACAATTTGTTACTTTTTAACTGCAAATTTGAACTCTATTTAAACGACGTCAGATACAATTTTCTGACAAAAAATTGACAACTTGAATATCTCCAATGGCACTCACCGTACCTTTTATCCTTGTAGACTTTGTCAGCCTCCTTAGAGGTAACGAAAACAACATCATCGCTCAATCTCCAGTATTTCTTCAGGTCGGCAAACTTGCTAGTCTGATCATCGACGATGTACTTCAAGATGATCCGTGAGTTACCTATGATACTTGATAGATGAATTGATCCAGCGCGTCCAAGACCGAATATTGCCCCAATCACGGGTTTTTTCTGATGCTTGGCTTTGAGATTAGTGGTTACATTGTTAACGTATCTGCAATAATAGACAAAATTAAATTAATAATAACGGTTGACTTCATATTAATTTTAAAAATGTGATCATAATATCAGGAACTCACTCAGTATGATCATAGTCCTCAGGTGGGTAACTCTGCTTTAGGGTGTAAGGAGAAGGGCCAGCGAAATTTTTTGTTGCCATTTCTGCGCACGATTTTAAATTTTAGTCATTTAACATAGAGGATACGTAATAAGACAAAACGTAAAATAACAAGAACGGTGAATATGTTAAAAAAAGTGCAATTTTGTTATACTCAAAAAACTTTGAAAAGGTTTTTCGTTGAAGTGGATTAAATTATAGGATAATAATTATGATAATATTTATGTTTGTAGGAAAACGCCACTATGTAAAAACGTATAATGAATAAATAATAATTAATAATATCAGTATACATTGTAAGATCTAATATCTTTTCAAGTACAGAATTATAAAATGAGTATCTCACCGATATAATATGTGCTGAAAGGTCTTATTCCGCTCTACTTTATTGATCTAATAAGAATATATAACTAATTACCGAGCTTATATTCACCCGACAAATGTCAACTCATATCAGAAACCATACGATACGTGGGTATATTCGTAGATTACCATGTACATACATTACATAACCACAAAAAATATTAATAAACAGGATGAGTCTTTATTTTCCAGAATGTAAGTGTAACTTACATGTGAGATCACTGTACAATGGCGCTAACAGTACCTTGTACAGCATGTTTTAATATCACAGATGAAACTATTAACACGGGTTTCCAAAAGATAAGTTCTCGAATTCAGATTGTAACCAGTATTGCCAAAAGCTAAAATAATTAAAAGGATAGGAATCAAAAATTACAAATGAAATCAAGAACTTACTAGTAAGTATCAAATACCCATGGACATTTTTCCGTGTTTGATAAATCTAACTTAATATTTTAACTACCTATTTACAGCACAAGGAATAAGTTTACTTTGGAAATGAAACTATTTTTTCAGATATAAATCGCATATATTTACTTGTTTATTTTTCAAAGAAACCCACGTTTCGAGTTCTTTACAGGTATCATGGTTACATCTTACTGAGATAGTAATATCGTCAACCAGTTATGTCTAAGGCTCAACTCACACTGGCGCAGAGTCGAGGCGTCGCGTCGCGTCCTGTTTTTCAACTACAACGCGTGGCGACGCGTGTCGTCGCGCGACGACACTCGCATTAGTGCGCCCGGATCACAGTGTGGTCGGCGTCTGACGCCTCACTGTGCTCAAGTGACGCGCGGTGACGCGCGTCGACGCCCGTTTCCATATTTGCATAACACAAATTTATACCTTAACAACGTGTCCGTCAGGATGGCTGGATCAAACGAGATATACAGTAATCAAAACTGTGCTCATTATAATCTACCTAATTTCTACTATTTAGTACCTTTATTGCCATATTTTCTACCTTTGCGCTAACGGAAATATTAAAGAAATAAAGTGCCCAACCATTCTGACGTCAGGTTGGCTGGACCACTTTACGGTTTTCATGGCTCTAGCAGTATATAATTTACTTTTTTTAAATAACTAGTAACTACCTAATTTCTACCTAAATATACTTTTTTTTTCACTATTTTAGGAAGCTTCTGTAAAAAGTTATTTAAAAAAAGTAATAAAACGCCTTTATCTTTTCAAAAGACAGTTTATCTTCTCCGTGTAATAGCTAACAACATTTTTTTATTTAGAATATTCCAACAATGGTTTTTAGATTATCTTTGCAAGCAATATTTTATAACAATTATTTGTAATAGTGAATTCAACTAGTAATTAATATAAATTACTAGTTGAATTCACGAGCGAGCGGGCTGTCAGTGCTCAAGATCAAGTTGCACCGCGAGCAGCTCAAAAATTTTTGCTAAAAATGACGAAATGTGCGGTAATTGGGTTTAAAAATAGATCAGATAAATATAAAATAGACACTAACATCACATTCCACAAGGAAGTAACGCGGTTCCAACTTGTATTTTTATACAAATATTCACTAAAACAGAAAATTAATTTCGTTGCAACAAGATACGAAAATGTTGCAAAGTAACGGGCTTTTTCTCCCCATTTTGCTATTCTGTTTCAAAATAATTATATTACGTAATTTTTTGAGAACAGGCAATATCGCGACGGTTGCAAAATTTCTACAAATGTACACCGCCGCAACAACATTGTAGGGAATTTACGTTAGCTATTTATACGAAATATATTTAGTATTTGCCTTCATTAGTTTCATGTGAAATATTCTTGTTCATCATACACTCATTTAAAAAAATTGTATTGCCCAGACTTAAAAGTTTTTAACTAAAATTATTTCAGGAAACTAACTCTGACTAAAAAGTCATTGTCAGTTCTCCAAAATCGTGTATAAATAACTTTCAGGTTCAGGTTCTTAATTGTTATCGTGTACTTTTCATGTAAAGATACCCACAGATAATATCAGGCTATTTATATATTCAAATTCGATAGTCGCACTTAAACTCGCTTGTAGGTTGTTCATATATGAGTTAAATAAGAATTGGGTAGTATTTAATAAGGTGCCTACAGATTTGCTCGACATTGTCGATCGACAGTAACGATTGAGAATTATAGACGTTTTCGAGGAGTTTTAGAGTGCATATTACGAATGTAGCATTAATTTCTAAATCCAACCATAAGGAAATGGCATGTATATCTGAATACAAGATGGGGGACAAAACTTCTAATTCTTCTTCTTCTAATTCTTTGCCGTCTTGGATTTAGAAATATTTGCTATATTCGGAATGATCAGCCCCTAATACCTTGAAAACGACACCCAACTTGTCATTATTCGAAAAATCGTGCCCGCCATCTTGGATTTAGAAATTAGTGCCATGTTCTTAATGAGCACCCCCAAATACCTCGAAAACGACACCCAACTTGCTATTATTTGAAAAGACATGTCCGCCATCTTGGATTTAGAAATAAGTGCCACATTCTTAATGAGCACCCCCAAATACCTCGAAAACGATCCCCAACTTGCCATTGTATGAAAAATCGTGCCCGCCATCTTGAATTTAGAAATGAGTGCCATATTCGTAATGAGCACCCCCAAATACCTCGAAAATGATACCCATATTGCATTTATTCGAAAAGACGTGTCCGCCATCTTGGATTTAAAAATGAGAAAAGTCGTGTCCGCCTTCGTGTATTCAGATATAAATGTCATTTCCATAAGGATTACCAAAAATAAATTTTTGAAAATTCCTGTCACTTGACGTTGTCGATCGACAGTAACGATCGACAAAATCGAGCATATCTGTAGGCACCTGATCGACAGTAACGATCGACAAAATCGAGCAAATCTGTAGGCACCTCTAACTTAACGATGAGTTAAGCAAGATACAATTTCCCCACTTTTGAGGGAAATGTTATTCATGGCATCATTATTTGTATATTTGTGTGCGTGCCGACGAGCGTAAATACAAGTTGCTTACGCCTACATGAATTTGATTTTTGCCTCACTTGTGACAGTTCGTTTTTTATGAAACTATCATTCTATGCGTTATTATTCTAAGGTTAAGTATTTAATAATCGTTTAGCTGTCATGTGATAGTAAATATTTGAAACTACCCACAATATTCACAATGGCGAAAATAGTTGTGTATTGTGCAAAGTTCGTTTATCTAACCTCATTAATAGTTGAATGAGTATAACATATCTCAAAACCAAAAGGGTGCACAGTGGGCCCAAAATTAATAATCTTGACTTAGGAACATTTTGTGGAATATCGAACTGATTTTTTTTTTATATGATAGATAATGAAATTCTAAACATCTTTTATTCTTGTACATTTCTTGAAAAATTTATACTTTCAGAGAGAAAAAATATTTTTTTTGTATGGAGAAATATACTTACATTTTTTTCTCGTAAAATACGAATATCCTTTTTGGGTTATATACTTACATTATAATTCCATTTATTCTCTACCAGGAAAAAATCCATCTGCATGTACTTGCGGCTTTACGAGCAAAGAAGCGACAACATTTCTGTATATTTTATATATTTATCAACACAATATACTAGTGTTTACTTAACTTTTGAGTTATGGTTATAACACTGTCTACATTACACTAAAATTAATACATTTTTAATCGAAAACTTAATTTGCCGCCGCTAGTACTCGCTACTGAACTGAACAATTTTATTAAAGTTCTATACACAGAACTATATAGAGTTTCACAGATGAAGGTCGTCTTTTGGTAATCAAAATGTCAAATATGTCACTAGTCAAACGCTCTACTGCCTCCTGATTAGTCAAAATATTGGCGGTACTTCTATTCTATCTCTTGGTTTTCAGTTGAGTTTGGGCTCTAGTTCGTTCACATTCCTTAATATAATATAACATATAACAATTGTTATAAAATATTGCTTGTAAAGATAATACAGAAATCATTGTTCGGATATTCTAAGCGCCTGTAAAATGTTGTTAGCAATTAGAAGGAGAAGATAAACTGTCTTTTTTAGAAGATGAAGGCGTCTTATTATTTTTATAAATAACTTTTTATAGACGCTTCCTAAAATAGTGAAAAAGAGTATGTTTAGGTAGAAATTAGGTAGTAAAAAAAAAGTAAATTTTATACTGCTAGAACCATGAAAATCGTAAAGTGGTCCAGCCAACCTGACGTCAGAATGGCTGGCCACTTTATTTCTTTAATATTTCGTTATTTTTATTTTATTTCTTACTTTATTTCTTTAGTTAGCGCAAAGGTAGAAAATATGGCAATAAAGGTACTTTTTTTTTATTTCTGTCTGCTTTGGATTTTTCATCAGAAGAAATACTGAACCCCGAGCTGGTCGTGTGGGGAAGCCATCTCCTTTGTTGAAATTAGAACAGAACATGTATATCTATACATTACACGTTTGCAGACTTTGGTGAAATAACAGGCACATGGGACTTTCAACTTGACAGGCGCTGTGACAGTGCCCCTTAAATCTTTGCGATTTCGGGCTCTGAGT